CTGGTGCACTTTGAGGGGAAAATAAAGAGACTAGATCTATGGAAACACCTATATGAAACAGAACTGTATACAATTCAATAATCATACAATCATGTCCATAACCAATAACATACCATTTCCAATATTAAAAAAACACTGAAACTTGTTTATTTATTTTTGGTTCATTTATAGTTGTGAGTGTGTCTGTGCTCCTGAATCAGCCTCTCCTGTCTCCCTCCTCTCCCCCCTGCTCCTCTTTGAGGCAGCAGCAAAGACTAGTTTTAGCTCTCAACAAGTTTTAAAAGTGTATCTTATCTTTTTTCACCTAGTTAACTTTTTATTTATTTATTCATGCATATTTTACTAATCACTACCCTCTCAAATGGAAATATGTGTTTACATAAATGGTGACCAAACCGCTTGAGACCCACTGAGAACTTAGACTAAGTTAACTCTCTAAACACTCAGAGAGTCCTTTGCCTCACCTGAGCTGAGGTTATCCCGAGCTTGAATGACACACAGAGACCAATCAAGGGCTTTGATTTATGATCTGTATGACACTGGCCATGTCGGCAGGCCGGATCATATAGACAGCCAGTCACCCTGTGTGAGGCAGGCCACTTAACAGGCCAGGTCCTCCCGATGGCCAGTCCGGGACTGGGGACAGGAGGCGTAGGGCGAGGGATCATTGTTCACAAGTTAATCGATCCCAGATGCCGTCGTGGTCACGGACAAATGAAAAAAAAAGATTATATAAAAATAAAATTAAAAAAAAAACCTAAATGGATCTCGAAATATACTTGGGCGGCTGTTAATATACCTGGGCGGCCCACCCAAGTATAGTCTATGTGTGGGAAACCCTGAAGTGCCTGTTGCATGCTGACCTGTGTGAAGGATATCTTTGTGAGCAGAGTAATTGGAAACCCCTGAAGCTGCTGGAGACCGACTTCATGTCTACTCTGAACGCGTTTTTTTTTTAGCCTGGCCTTGAGAAGAGTTTATGAGCCTACATTTGAATAAAAGCGATCTCACACTGTATCGCAACATCTATTCTGAAAGTCCTGCTTTTTCAGGGGGCATTTAACTTAGGCTTTATTCACTTAACTCGGATCACTGAATATGGCAATTCTCTGCCAATCTATTCAAGCAAAGGATGCCATTGGACCTAAGAGGAAAACATGTTTACCAAATGAAAGATCAGGGTCACAGGCAGCACATTTTGGAGCATACAGCTCTAACATCTGCAGCTGATTTAAGGGAAACGGCACCAAATCTCATCCTCTGAACTCTGTGTGCTCCCATGCTGTACGTTTGGGTGCAAATTCCCACCCTTCCACCTTGAGTCCCTTGTGAAACGATGCCCCTATCATTGTTATCTTCCAAGGTTTCCCAGAAGAGTCCATCCTGCAGGCTGTGTTGAGATATGGGTAACTGTGGGGGGAGGTCCTAACCTAAGGAATGGTTCATTTAGCCTCCGAAATGTGATCTAAGGCCTCTGTTTTGTTACCTCACATATGGTGTGCGAGTCATACTCCCAGGTGTGATTTATGTTGTCGTCTTGCTCCTGACCGGAGGTGGTTGTCATTGTGACAGGTTGACTGGTATAGAAAACAAGTTCCACAGCAGTGTTCAGTGAACAGTCCCTGTTGAAAGGGAAGCTCAGATTCCACTAGTTCAGAATAAATAAGTAATTTGGTTTACAAGAAAAGACTAAATCAATCCAAATTATTATCATTAAAATAAAAAGGTGATAACACATGTAAAAAAAATGTTGTTTAATTGCAAGAATTGAAAATGATGAGGCCTATGCAATACATAGACGTTTACAAAACATTACATTAGGACATTTACAAGTTGGCTACGGGTGGCAAAATGGTTTTGACAAGTTATTGCACGACAGTTATTTAAGTTATAACTTTTATTATTGTTATTATTTATTTAGCTTTGAATCTGTATTATCTTAATTGGGTTTTTATTTTATTTATTTTTGTATTGGTTTATTTATTTTAGAGCTTTTTATATTTGATGGTATTTATTGTTTTTTTATTTTATTATTTTTTTTCATAGCTTTTACCTCCTGTGTCCCTTAAACTGTTAAAGGACTTTGAGCTGGTTTATGAAAAGTGCTATCACAATAAAGCACTTGTTTCAGACAATCTGGTAACATCTGGTATCTTAAGCAAAATACTCGGACTGATATTTGATGAGGAGCAGGAGAGGTGCACAGCAACTTGAGGATCTAATCCTGAGTGTCCAGCCTGAGCTCTGAACTACTCAATCACCAGGGTTAAAGTGTGTTTGTGCATCGTACTATATGCTTATACATGAACACTTTAATGGTTTTTTTCCAGTGCATGGTTAGAAGAGGAAGATGACCCTGTCATTGCCAGAGTCAACCAGAGAATAGAAGACCTCACAGGCCTCGAAGTAGACACTGCAGAGTTACTACAGGTAATTTCATACGGGACAATAGACCGAATTGCATTAATCAACACACCCTTATTTCACATATAACTCAGTATTCTGACATCCATTCTTATGATTTTATTCACTAAAATGAAAGTGATATGTGCTGGGTAACGTTTTTAATTTGATTCGATTTTGTTGAACTGATAGGTTTACCCATTCAGAAATTCCCGTTATATCTTATCCAAGGCAGTATAAAAAAGTGAACTGAATCGTGTTTGTTTTATTTAAAGTAAGGACAAATCACATTTAAGAAAAGCCCAACTGTAGTGGGATATGTAATGTAATCAGTCAGTGATATTCAACAGACCTCACTGGAACTACTTTCTTACAAAAATGTTATCCCTGTTTTTATCCAAAGAAGAGTTGTACATTCAAGCAAAGTATACAACAATTATTCTTAATTTAGCAATGACTGTATATTCCAGGATAGATTACAATTAAGATGACAATCATATATTTGTTATCAACTGATTATTTTTGCCTAATAATATAAAACAATTATTAAAATGTTTAAATCATCTTTGTCAATGGCTGACCAGGTCGCTAACTATGGAGTTGGAGGACAGTACGAGCCACACTATGACTTCTCAAGGGTGAGTTAATGTGTGAGTGAGTGTGGGTGTGGGCGGGTGGGTATGGAAGTTGATCGTTTTAGTTTCAATACTTTTATGAAGATCACTGTTAGTGAATGTGTCTAGTGCTCTTTATTATAAGGAGCACATCACATTACTTGTATGAACATTCTCTCATTGTCTAAGATTTAATTGCTTGAAAACAAACAAAACCCTTCTTACCTTTAATTTTATTTTTCTATTATTGTATCCTCTGCACTGCGAAGGACACATTTTGTACATGTCTGTGTTCTTTAGGGTCAGTCATTTGACTCCTGACATTTTAGCTGTAAAAAAACCCCAAAATATATACACATTTAAAACATTTGTTTTGGTTATTTTGGCAGATTTTAGAGGTACACTTCTAACCTTTATGGCCTTCCATCGCCATCACCCTACCTTTCGTAGTGTGTGAAGACTCAAAATGTCTTTGGTTGTTTGGAAAATACAGTTATTGCCAGGACATTTTAATCCTGCCCAACAATAACCGACAAATAAATAAGAGCACAATGAAACTGCTGCTAGACAACAGCATGGTTTTTCATTTTTAAAATACGGCGCCGTTTGGTTGTGAATAATCAAGTCATAATCTGAATATTACTGTCTCCTCTTCCTGTGCCTCTTATTTCTCTACTTTTTCTTTTAAATGCCTAAAACCATCTCCTCTTTTTCTCCCACCTTTTCTGTAATCTAGGCTTGATTACACTCCTAGTTCCAGTTTTACTAAAGTTAACTGTTGTTAAACTGTGGTTCTGTTTTGTCACTTATCTACCTGCTCATCAGTTTGATCATCTGAAATCTGTAATGTTTGTTTTAACTCTGTCAAAAATATCTGCACTGCTTGTTGACTGACTGTATAACTTGGTGCATTATGGACTCATACCCCCCCCCCCCCATCCTTTAAAAGTTAAGTGACCCTTTCCCTCAGAGATCCCAGCTCTGTTCCCTCTGTGTGTTCCAGCTGGGATGTGATCTATGGTCTTCATAAGATCTATAGCTGTATGTATTGTGCAGCCAGCTAAAGAATCTTCTTGTTACATTAATGAGCCGAGGTGAAAAAATGACAGTGATAATTTATGGATTATTAGATTTTTGGTCTTTTCTTCTGAGGATCCTCTTTGAATAAGTAGCCAACTTTATGATTTATGCATCTTCTTATACAAAAATGAAGTGCTACATGTCAACTTTTTGTAGTTTTATCAGCATTATGTTCCTTTAAAAGTTTTAAGTTGCACTTGCGTGACATTTAGTGAAATTAGGTTGTAATGACATTGGATGTAAGTGTAGTTAACCTTTAACAACATATTCTTCTATAGTACCATCATTTTGTAACAACACCCGCATTTGTAGGAAATTGCTAAACACTATATTGATACATTACACTTCCAAGTATTTTGTTATAAATCATAACATATTGTAATGATTGTTACACATTTTACATACACAATTCATTTGACCCTAGTGAGTATGTAAAAATACACACAAATGGATGACTTCATTTCAAAAAAATTGCTATAACATTGTAACAACAATGCATATTTGATGCATTTGAGCATGACTAGTACTGATAGAATACAATAATGGGTCAAAATGAAGTATGGCGTTGAATAAAATGGGTATAACTTACACTTTTACACATGCAATATGCTATAATTTAATATAAAATGCAGGGAAAGGTATAACACATTACATTATATGATTACATTATGTGGTGTTATCACATAATGTGTTATTACAGTGCACTTAGTGGTGGGGATCCTATTCCATGTCTTTTGAGTGATGGGTTCATGTCTAACCATCTGTTGCAGCCTCCTTTTGACAAGAATCCCGACGGAAATAGACTTGCTACATTCCTAAACTACGTAAGTACGCGTGGGTCGGAGAGCAGTGCTTTCATCATGTATGTTCACTCTTGAATTTTATCTTCATAGAAAGATGAACCTGATGCTTTCAAAAGATTAGGCACTGGAAATCGTGTGGCAACTTTTTTAAATTACGTAAGTATGTGCACTTAGTCGCCATTGGTTGAAGGCCGGTCTCCTGAAATCTACACACCGGCCTTTCTTTGTTTTCGCTTCATGCTCTAGTTCAACTTGGACTTGGATTGATTGACTTTGATTTGGCGAACACAGTCGTACCTCTCAAACTCTGTAGGCACTTGATGCAATGAGGCAAGAGGCTGTAGCATTAAAAAAAAAAAAAACTCTCACTACCCCATCACTTGGATGACTGAGAAACAAACTTCAAGGAGGTTTTTCTGTCAATCAGTTCCAGTACACATTGCAGAGAGTTGTGTTGGCCATCCCCCATTAACTCTTTATTTTACCCTTGCTAACACTGGGTTGTACGAAATACAACAACTCCCCAAAACAGAACGTTTTTTAATGATGTATGCACCTGAATGATCCAGAGAATACAAGGAGTAAAACACTTCACACATTTAAAGTAAATCCTTCCGATAAAGGATCATCACTTTAGATCAACAAGCATGTTTGACTCGTTTAAAAAGATATGAGACACAACTAACATAAAATAACAGTGATGAAGTAGTGATGAAATGTGTGTGGAACAACTGCTGGGTCATTTTAGAGGAACCTTTTCTGTGCTCTGAAATCTCTAGTCTTTATAGTTTTCCCTCACTGTAGTTCACATAGCGGTTTCTTACACCCCTTTGTTGTATAAAGATGTGTGGCTTGTCATTTTGTGCAAATTACTTCATGCAAGTCCTTAACTGGACCCAGTTTTTCACTTCAGATGCCTCTCATTAACACTAGAACCGCCAACATTCCATTACTCCTAGAACCGCTGAGGGGGTAATTTTGACCCCCCCCCCATCCATCGCTACATCCTCAGCACTCGCAGAGAAGTTTTTGAAACATTTAATTTGTTAATTTTCATAATTTCCCTAAGTAGAACTTCACAAAAAAAACGATTTAAAACCCAGTTTATGGTGTTAATTGCTTCAGTTTATAATCATAACAGATCAAAAATTCAGATTAATTTTTACAATAAATCAATAAATGTGGCGCTTCTACAAACAAAAACAACCTAAGAAATACATTTATTTTGTGCACATTACTTCATGCAAGTCTTTAACTGGACCCTGTTTACATGCCACTCATTAAGCAGCATTTCAAATGTTTTTACAAAAGAAATTACATTACACAATAATCTATCTTGAAATTAAAATCAATGTATACAGTATATACATTAACAGCATTTATAAAACAAACAAAACATGTGTTTAATTAAAGCAGTTTCCAACGAGTGTGTGTGTTTCCTCAGATGAGCGATGTGGAGGCAGGAGGAGCCACCGTCTTCCCTGACTTTGGAGCAGCTATCTGGCCTAGAAAGGTGATGACAGCAAAGCATGTCTGTGAATAAATATTATAATAGTATTTTCCAATTTAGACTGTGTTCACTTTGTACGGCTAGTGAAAAACTGATCTTTCTGTGTTGTTATGTCGAGTCAATGATTAAACACGCCCACTCTCTGTAAGTCCTGACAGAATGATGGAGGATCTCAGTGGGAGGTTTCCTCTACATTTATTAGGTATCACTTTGAAATGAAAATGTATGAAGCGTGACATTTTTTAAACTATAGACTTTGTGCAGTACTTCAGAAGTATTTGCCCTAGGTAATGGCTCTTTAACAGTGGCGAGGTGGCACAGATGGGGGTTCTTACCGCAGGGAGGCCACAAAATGATTATCATTTGTAATGTTTGGAAAGTCTGTTATTTTAATAGGTCTAGCATTACACATAAATCAAAATACCATTAACAAAAATGTATTGGCCTATTTGTTAAAAATAAACCAAAGATGTTATTAACACCAAATGAATGATCCTCTTTCTGTAACTAAACATTTACGATGAATCCTCTTGCAACTACATTGGCTAGCTCACTTATGTTAAATCGCTGCAAATAGTGAAATAGTCTTTCACTATATAGTATAGTATTGTTTGTACATGGTGCTTTGGGCTACCCTTCAACATAATACACATACCAAGGACAAAAGGGAACTGTCTACCACATGGTCTGCCAACACTTTGTTCTTCTTCTATCTTCTACAGTGTGTAGATGTCAAATATATTTTCTTTTCTTTTGCCAAAAAGCTGTTTCTTTGTACTTTGCACGCTCCTCAAACACTTGTTGGTGATGTGAATAATTCTGGTCATTTATCTGAATGTCTTTCTCTGTGAAGGCAGCTGTCTTTTTACTTGTAGCTTGGAAAAACAAACTGCAATTGGCCTTGGACAGTCGTTGTGTCCCAACTTAACCCCAAATGCCGGTTCAATGTTGACCTCTGTTTTCCAATTTCTTGCTTATCAGTCTATCCAATAGTCCAACCTTATCATTTCCCTCGAAGTGTCGAGTCCCAAAGTAGATCCTCACGTTTCTCCTGCTGGCTTACAGCAACTTTACATTCTACTTAGAATTGACTCTTTTGTTTTCTGTGTATTTTTCAATCAATACCATGTATGTATATATGCATATGTTTCTCAAGCAACCAATAGTCCGCTTGAGAAACTCGCGTCATATTGCTGCAATGATCCACACTCAGCGTGAAGCCGCTTGTGCTCCAGGACTGCTGTAGCCCAGCATCTGTTTTTTAACTATCGTCTCCTCTCTCCTGTACATCATATGTGAGCTTCATATGTGAATTTGTTCCATTTCTCCACAGGGGACGGCAGTGTTTTGGTACAATCTGTTCAAGAGTGGGGAGGGAGACTATAGGACCAGGCATGCAGCTTGTCCCGTCTTAGTAGGAAGTAAATGGGGTAAGTAACAGTTAAGATTCATCACGGTTTTTAATTATTACATTGAATGAGAAGAAATAATATTTGGTGAATCTTTGGTCATTATGAGTCTTACCGTCCCAGAGAACAGGGCTGTTTTTTTTGTTCAGAATGCATGACTAATCCGACTAGGCTTTTTTGTTCCTCATATGTATGTTTTCTTTTATTTCATCAGTGTCAAATAAGTGGATCCACGAGCGAGGACAAGAGTTCAGGAGACCCTGTGGCCTGACAGAAGTGGACCGAAGTTAAACACACACTTAACAAACGTGCAAAGACACATGCACTGTAAACACACCCTCAGTAGTGCCTTCATTCGGTAAATTATTTAATAAACCATAGACACATAACTCAACACCTGTCACTCTCTGCTTCAACTTGTCTACATCGTAAATATGTAATGAGGAAATGATATCAGCCTGAGGTGTGAAGAATGTACTTCCCCAATAAAGTGAATTATGAATAAAGCGTGCGAATTTTAAATCAAATTCCTTTATCGAAACAAAACACAGAACTATGTCAGGGCTATGATGGTTTGCCAATGTACACCCACTATTAGTGTCACTAATATCTTAGTATATTTGATTAAGTTATAAGCAGTTCCAAATATGAGTTCTCTAACAAATCTTTTGTACTGAAACCAAAAAACAAATACTAATGTTTTACGTTGTAGTCCTCCATACTGCTCCATTTACACAATAAGAAGATTTGTCTAACCCCTAAAAATGAAAACCCCTTATTTATGTACCTAATATCCTAGCTTTTAAAAACATACATCGAAACATACAGTTGGTGTGCTGAAGGCCTTACCAAAATGGTTTCAGAGCAAATGATTGAGGTTTCAATGTGATAGACATATTTATTGAGTCGAGAAAAATGACCTTCCTTCAATGATTTAGTGACTCTTTTACCCAACTGTAGTTGATGATTACCTAATGCTACAATGGATGCATTGAAAAGGTATGGGCTCTATTTGAAGGTTTAACACGGAAACATTTAAAGAAAAACAAACTATTTACAGACAGTATACTACTTTCATTTTGTAGACATAAATAGGCTTTACTCTATCTTCATTTACACATATACTTGATTACATTCTCCTGACACTCTGTTTGTTATAGTTTGCATCTAAAGGGTTTATTTCCCTTTAAACCTGAAAGAGAAACATTTCCTCCATAACATGTCCATGATGTTTTATTTATGTAGTGTTTAAATTATTTCACTGTTACATGTTGGGCTCTTTGGTCAAGCTGGCAAACAAGCAAGTCTAAATAAACTTTGTCTTTTATTAAAATGTTTACTGTCTTAACTTTATTACTGGTTAATTCACCGTAAAACAGAGTGAGCAAAGTAAGAATATATCAAGAGTGATTTGCTCGAATCTATTGCACACTCTTTAGGTAGACCCTCCAGAAAAACGCGATTCTGCGATCGCAGAATTTACCGCATAATTAGCAAAATGGCGCAGATTTTTAAAAAGCCGCATATTTATCAAAAGGCCGCATAATCCCCGCATTTTTCCACACAAAGTTGAGAAGAAAAAAAAGTTAACTCGTCTTGACGTGACGTCATCAGCTCGCGCATCACAGAATGTAAACAACACTGTATAGAGCTCATTTACCAACGAACATTTATACTAAAGACCGGGCAAAAAGTGGGGGGAAACTATTCTGCACCCCGTGCAACTGTGTGTTGCAGCATAAGAGAAAATCGACGGTGACGACCCACTTTGATTCATTCAAACATTCGAAAATGCTTTCTGCTGCTGCGGACAAGAAAGCCATTCAACTCCCGTTCACCGAGGGATCAACCTCCAAAACCCTTTCGAGGGCTACAAGAAACGAAGTGAGTAGCCTACAAGATTGAAGCTGGTCAGATAACGAACGAGTAAATGAAAACAGAATGAGGCGGAGAAGTGTGTGTG